TTATCCCAGCGGCGAGGCACGATTGCCTGAGCTTAAGAAGAGGTGGAGTTACAGGAGTGGAGATGTCATATTTTTCTGATGCATTTGGCGTGAGGAAAAGAGGCCACAGAAAACAGTCAAAGATAATCCTGAGGTTTCTGGTTTAAATCAATTGCGGGATGGTGAGCTACTTATGGAGCCAAGAAAGTCTCTGGGAGAAAGATTTGTGTAGAACATTAGTTTCCTTTTGATGCTGTAATGAATTCACTGCAACCCAGTGAATTAAAGTAACACATATTTATTGTGTTGTAATTCTGGAGGTCACAAGTCTACAAGAGCCCTTACAAGGCTAAAATCGAGAAGTAGAAAGGCCTTTGTTCCTCTGGCAATGTTAAGAGACAGTCTGTGTCCCTGACTTTCCTGCCTTGTAGAGCTAAACTCACTACTGTGGCCCATCTCCTAACCTTCATTAACTGATCAAGTGTCACACCACATCACTCTGACTCTTCCTCCCTCCCTGCTTACACTTGTAAGGACTGTGTGGATACACGGAACCCACTTCATTACTTATCAATGTTAAATACCTTCTGTGGACACCTATTTTTGCTCTCTACTGTAACATGTTCACAGATAACAGGGATGTCTTGTGAGTTGGAGTTGCAGAGTGTTATTCTGTCTAGCATGTACGGAAAAATATCAACATGTGTGTTTGAGGTATGTTAAATTTGAGTTGCCAGTGAGTCAACCCAGCAGGAACTCATGATGGTGGTCATTGCGAATGTGAGTGAGAAGTGTAAGGACAAATGCACATGGAGCTTAGAAGTTGTTGACGCCGGCATTCTGTGTAAAGCTATGGGGTAATGTAGCATGGTCAACCAAGGGAACAGTCGTGGAAAACTCCTGCATGTGGAGTAAAAGAGGAAAGCAAGGAGAAAACAAGAGAAGGACCACAGATCTAGGATGAAAACCCAAACACTGTGTGGCCAGGAAAGCCCAGTGAGGAGCCTTAAAGAAAGAAGGAAGGTGTGACCCTCTGGGTTCAGTTCGGCCACACAAGAGCGTCTCAACACCTGTCAGTGGATTTGTGAATAGAAAACAGGATATTTGCGTCAAGGTTCGAGTGTAGTGTGGTGGGCAGCGTTGAGACTCATGAAGGTGGGGCGGTGAGCGTGATCCCACATGATGAGGTTCTTCGTGACAGTAGCAGTATCTGTAGGTGCTTTTAAACAGCGAAGCAGGGCTAGTGACATGGCCCAGTGCACCAAGGCCCTTGCTACCAAACTGGATAACCCGAATTCGATACCTAACCGGATAACACGAATTGGATACCTATGGTAGTTTGAATGTAACTGGCCTCCATAAGCTCACAGAGAGTGGCACTCTCAGGAGGTGTGGCTTTGTTGGAGTCGGTATGGCCTTGTTGGAGGAAATGTGTCACTGTGGGGCAGGCATTGAGGTTTTCTATGTTCAAGATACAGCCCGGTGTCTCAGGTGACTTCTCATGCCCACATATCAAGATGTAGCCAGCATCACATCTGCCTGCACACCGCCATGATCCCTGTCATGATGCTAATGGACTGAATCTCTGAAACTGTCAGCGAGCCACCACGATTAAATGTTTCTTTATAAGAGTTGCCATAGTCATGGTGTCTCTTCACAGCAATAAAAACTCGAACTAGCACAATACCCAAGGCCTACATTATGGAAAGGGACTCCCACAAGTAGTTCCCTGACCTGCGTGAATTTAAAGTCTAAAAGGGATTTAAATAATGAGTTCATCATTTTTGGTCACAAAATGCAAGAAGACGCTGGGAGTAGCAAGATCACTGGTGTACGTTAACCTCTAGTCAGAACGTAACACAGAGGAAGGGGGAGAAGTCACTGGCTCTCATTGCCCCGCCTTGTGTGTATAGCAAACATAGGAAATCAATGGAGAGATAAATCACCTCGCCCTTCCTAGATGCATCTGAGTGCTGAGCAGCACATGTAAAGCTGCAATGATTCAGAGAAGATTGACAAGGTCTCCGTGCAAGGATGATGCCCAGACTCCTGGAGTATCCCACACTCTTTCCTAGCATTTGCAAGGCCCATAGCACTTAGTTGGTTTTCTATTGCTGTGAAGAGATACCATGACCAAGACAACTTATAGAAGAAAGAGTTTATAGGGGTTTACAGTTCCAGAGGGTTAGAGTCCATGACCATGGGGGAGAGGGGGCATTATGGCGGCTGGCAGGCAGAGATGGTGCTGAAGCTGTAGCTGGGAGCTTATGTCACACACAGGCACAAGGCAGAAAGGAAGAGCTAACTGGGAATGGTTCGGGCTTTTGAAACTTCAAAGCCCACCCCCAGTGACATCTTCTAATCCTTCCTAACCAGTCCACCAACTGGAAACCAAACAAACCTAGGAGCCTGTGGGGGCCATTCTCATTCAAACCAACACAGCACTTAAAAAAAAAAAATACTCCTTATTTCAGTCTACAAGGTCCTCTAGAACTAAACAGCAAGAAGTGCTTGGAGGAATAAAGCCGAAAAACCCTGAGAAAAACTCAAGATTTCTTTGACTTGAGTATCTTGCTCCTCTGTCCTTGAGTAACTCTGCTTTTCTGGGGATTGCTAGAGGGGACTTACTACCACGCCCGCTAGTCTACCATAAGGGTTTGATGCTGCAGGATGAGGAGTGAAAATTCCTTCCTGTCCATCTCCATGGTACTGGACCTTTTAGGAGAAGGTGGTAGAAAGATTCTTTAGCTCATACAGAGTTCCATCCAGGACTCGGGAGGCTGAGGCACAAGTTAGAGGTCAGCCTGGCTATGTCATGAATTCCAGGATAGTCTGGAATATAATGTGAGATTCTGTCCCAGAAAAGAAAACAAAACAAAAGTATTCTGAGCCTGATTCCTTCTCCACCCTCTGGTTCTGAGTCATGTAATAGGAGATAAGATTTAAAGGCCCAAACCAAAAGCTTCTTGATTATATTATCTGTCAAATTAAATAAAATATACAAGGAAAATTTAATAGTCCTGAAAATAAACCCAAAGTATTTATTTCCTTCTGCCCTATGCACAAAATTTGATTTATCATAGACATAAACATAAAAACAAGCAAGAAACTTCTGGAAGACAGGAAAACAGAACAAATTGTACACATACACACACACACATTCACACATACACACACACATCAGTAACTTCAGTGGTGAGTAAACGCTTCTTAGAAAAGACAGATGAAGCAATAATAAATAAAAATGGACAAATATATTAAATCAAAATTTAAAACTTCAGTTCATTAAAAGAATAACCAGGCATAATACACATGCCTGTAAGTCTCAGCTGCTGGGAGTTTGAGGCAGGAGAATATTCAAGGCAACACAGCTAGCCATCCTCTTAAAAACAAGAAAACAAAATGTACTATTATAGGCTGGGAAGCAATGTTTATGAATATATATGCATATAGATTACAGAACTTGATTCTAAAATTAATAAACCCTATACCTCAATTAAAAATATAAAAGAAACTAATTTTAAGTGAGCAGAGAAGCTTAGTCTGTAATAGCTATTTGCTTCACTGATTCAAATAGTTACAATTTAGTATCATTGATAGGTTTTTTTTTTCTTTTTTAATAATAAAAGAAATGGAAAATTGCTTTAAAGAAAGGAGTAGCATGCCTTAGCCACATGCTAAAAGCCTGGCTGAGCACCATCTAGTGGCAGAGCTTCAAATTGAAGTTTTTGGCTTTGGTTCTTCAGGTTAACAGCCAATTTTAAAGACAGTATACAAAAAAAGAACTTGCAAACACCATAAGAAAATCTAAGATAACAACAAACTTACAGTTTACATGAATAAAACAAAACCAAAAGAGCTTCGTATTTTTACTGAAAAACTATTGAATCAATGAAAATCATAATATATGATATTCAGTCAAATACATATGAGTAGACTTTTAACTGACTATTCATATAATCAGCGTAAGTTAATTGTACACTGGATAATCGGCATATACTATTGTATTCAATTTTCCTAAGAACTCAGTGAAATACAAACCCATCCCAGGTAATATTGTTACAGTTAACATTTGCCATTTTGTGGTTAATAACCAGACCTTACGAATGTTATTTCTCTCTCAATATAATGTTTTTGTGAGTTCCTTCTGAAAGTGAAAGGGGATTGGGAAAGCTAAGGGAAAGAAATCAGGGAGAAAAGTGTTCACAGTGGGAGACAAAGTATTTACTTCCGGTAAACGACAGAGAGTTTCACTTAAACATCGTTGTATTCTTCCATCGTGTTCCTTGTTTCCTACACACCCATGAACCCTGCCGCCCTGAAACTAAGCTGCAGGAAGTTGCTCCAGACAGTGCATTCTAATTTTTCCTGTTGAAAATCATGGGAAGTGGCCACGGCTGGGGTTTCAGGTGGAGCCTCTGATTTTCAAAAGTAGGCTGCTGTTCAACATTAGGTGTCTCGATGGTATCACTATTATGCCACTTTGTAAAGTAGTCCGGAAGAGCCTGAGCAAGTTCACCAGAGTTGGGAAGATGCCCTGACAGCATGACTGCACAGACTGTGTTCAAACACTGGGACGCTGCCTCCACTGCTGTGTGCCTTCCCCTGCCTCAGCGTTTCTCAGAAGTTCTTGGTCAATGACTTGTTAGGTTGGCATGTTGTGACATTGCTATATCATCTAAAGCAGAGTTCTAAGGTTAATTAGATTTGGAAAATGCTGAATCACAATTCAGAGGCCAACTGTGATTCTTGAAGGTTGGTAAATGTGCAAGGATTTAGTAGGTACTCACATCCCCTGGTGGCTGTGGTCTTGACCTCCATGGTGTTCCTTTGACAGATACTGGTGTACTGTAGTCAGCTTTCAGTGTACGTCACAGACAATTCATAACAATCTCTTGTTATACATTGAAATCCACGGTCAAGTCAAGGTGGTGGATGTGAGCAAAGCCCATTTTCGAGGGAGGAGAATTGGAGATGACCCAGTCATGTCAATACTGATGTTCTCTCCTCTTCCGTATCAGGTGCTGTCATACCACGCCACGTGTTCCAAGGCTGAAGTCGACAAGTTTAAGGTGAGGAAGGGGACAGTTGTGCTGTTAGCACTAGACTTTGTCTGAAGCGTGGGCCACAGTCCTGGGCAGAGAGACTCGGAGTCCTTCATTTTGGAGAGGTGCAAGGTTTAAAGGATTGTGTGGTCTCTGTGATTTACATGAGTCAATATGTCCTTTCCTTTGTTAAGCACGCAGGTATGGGGAGGAGGGTCTGTATAATTGGATGAGAATTGGGACACCTGACTTAGGCATTGGTTTTACCTCTAACTTACTAGTCACTTAAAAATTTTGGGCCTTATTGTCTTGTTTATCTATAAAACTAAATGAAGAAGCAGGGCAGTGGTAATGAGGTGATGCGTGCCTTTGATCCTAGTACTCAGGAAGCAGGAGGATCTCTGACTTCAAGCCTGATCTACAGAGTGAGTTCCAGGACAGCCAGGGCTGCACAGAGAAATCCTGTCTTGGAGGCAGGGGGAGGAAAAAAAGTCTAAATAGAGAGATTGAGATCATAATAACTAACATTTACCCCATGCTTCCTGTGTGCCCGGTATACTACAGACTCTTCCCCTGTACTTAGCCATCTCAACTCACAGCCCTGTGAAGGGCTATACACACTATTTTCCAGATGAGCACACTGAGGAGTATGATGATTCCCACCCCCCACCCCGGCACTGGAGTTCTTAACCACAAGCCTCCCTGCTGCTCAGCATGACCCTATCTGGCTCCCACATCGATGAGTCTATGAATGAGTCCTAAATGCTCCTTTTTATTTTAGCCACCACTGTCTCCTTGGGTGCAGTTCAGAATTCCATCTTGTCTCCTGGATTCCTACAAATCATTTTTCAACAACAGCCACAAAATAGGAGGGCTGGGGCTCAGCGGTATAATGCTTGCCTAGCATGTTCAAGGCCCTGGGTTCAATTCCCAGGACTTCAGGAAAAGCAAAACCCCAAGAATGTTGGAAACATTTCTCCCTTTAAAAATCTTTGGTTTGTGTTTCTAAATTCTGTTTAAAGGTTTTGAGAATGATTAGGAAAGGCTACAACCATAAGAAATGTCGTATTTATAATATTGGTATAGACATTGCTTGCAGCTCTTCTAGGAGTCCCATTTGCACAGAGATCCATTTTATCCTCATAGGGAAAGAATGACACAGAGATCTTCGACCCTGATAGAGTCATTTTAGAATTGACTCGCACGAACCGTGGAAGAGGACAAAGAAAGACTGAATACAGGGGTAGAATTTCCCAGGAGGGAATGCAATGAGTTGTTACATTTGACAGTTGCTTAAGGAAAAGTCTCACAGTGGTGCCCCAGATCAAAAGGAGAGACCATGCTCTCAAGAAGTAATGGCTGGTCCCCCCTGGAAGGAACGAAGCTATCTAAACTACAGCAGTCGGGGCTTATTGTTATAGAGGCGAACATCCTGTACACTCTTTTAGTTTGTTTTCTGTCCTATCAAAAATACCTAAGACTGTGGAATTTATAAGCAGTAGAGGTTTACTCAACTTATGCTGCAGAGGTTGAGAAACCCAAGGGTATGACTGACGTCTGCTCAACATCTGGTGTGTGGAGGTGGGGTGGGGGGGTGCATGTGGTGGGCGTCTTGCTTCATCACAACATGGCAGAAGATGTCATATGTTGAGAGAGAGCAGCAGGCCAGAGAAGCTGCTCTACAGCCTCGCCTCCCTTCCAGTAAGCTGTGAATCCACTCATTCATGCACGAAGGCAGACCCTCACGACCCATCCATCTCCCCAAGTTCCACTTGTCAATACTGCTGCATTGACGACCAATTTCCAACATGTGGAACTTGGGGACACATTTGAATCATGGCATACTGACCAGGACATGAACTCCATGTGACAGGGATTTTTGTATATTTTCTTCACGGTTCTATCTCTGAGGCCTCTCACAGTTCTTGGAACATGGTGACACTCAGTAAATACTTGGTGAATGAATGAATGAATGAATGAATGAGTACAAAGAGCATCAGTATTCCAGATCTTAAGCAGTTCATTATCAAGAAAATATTAAAACTACAACATGAAATTATTTTAGATGCCTATTTAAATTAAATTTTCTTTAATATATGCAAATTATATATTTTCCATAGAGATATTAAAGCTTATTTACCTTAATAAAATTTAGTGTGCATGTATTATAACACCAGATAATATATGATAATCTGTAAAAATTTTGTTTTTATCTATAAATTTGAGAAGTTAAACAATAAGGCAAAAGTTTCCTTGCCTAGAAATCTTACTTATGGCAATGCCTAGCTCCTGCTAAAATGATAATATTACATGCTATTATTTCATTTTTTTGCTGCCATTATGATTATTTTTGTTACCAAAGCAGGGAAGTGACCAGAAAGAGGAAAGCAAAGTGCATAATGAACTAAATGTGACTCTAAAAGCCACTCACAGCCATCTCCCAGAACTACAGCAAGCTACACAGTCCAGAGCTGACTGCTTTGTTTGTGAAGGTCACTAACTACATCCAGGCTTCATTCCTTGCTTTAGAGCAAAGAGAACTCCATTGTCTTAGAGCATGCTGTACTTTTCTATTATTAGCTCCCAAACCTACTAAAAATATGAAGTATTTAAATTTGAGAACAAAGGGTTATTTCATCTTAAAATTGTTGAGATTATTAACTGAACTGATTTATTCCAGATTTTATCCCAAAAGATATTAGCTGGTATCCTATTATAATGTAATTGAGATATAGTAGATAATTTTAACCAAATGGCTTTTTCCTTGATATATAAAGTAAATAAAACATTATCCTAATTGATAGCTGATGTCTATTGTAACTGCAGCAATAACAGTAAAATGTAGTGTGCTTAGAATAATCCTGTGTATTGTCATGGGACAGCACTCACAGAAACTCCAGACTTGGTTGTATACAACTAACTAAATAACTGAATAAATACTTTATTTTCACCAACATATAGAGGCGAGCCACATCGACATCCAAATGTGTTGTAACCTATATTGTGTTCTACACTTTTGAAAATATGCATAGTTTTTGTAACAGCGTAGTGATTTACTTAAATCCAGAATCAATGTTATGCACAGATTTCCTGGGTAGAAGGATGGATGAGTCCCAGGATTCACTCTACTTAGCTGGGATGAGTGGTAATTCCAAGATGACCCCAGGGTTTGGAAAGAAACTATTTAATTATCCATGGAAAACACAGGAGCCCAAATACACAGGCATATGAAAGACCTCATTAGGAACCCAAAATGCACCACATCTGGGGTACAGAAACTCCCCCAGAGAACAGCAAATGTGGTTATTTACATGAGTCTAAGAGCCTTTCTGAATCAGGAGCGTGTTCTAGTGTAAGTGGAGTCCACACGCCTCCCTGTCCACATGTGAGTTCAAGTTCAGCATGAGAGCCATCTCTCGGTTCTATCTCCTCCTTCGACCAACCACGGATCCACATTCTTAGTTGAAAACATGAAAACAGGAGTGGATGCAAAGGCCTGATCTTCATGATGGATTCAGCATCTTCCATGCTTCAGACAGCTCAGGGTCCAGAGTATCCGCTGCATATACCAGGGACCAGTGGCAGGAAGCTTCACTGCAGACTGGATGAGGGATGCTTTTCTTCCAGTGTGACTGTCCAGGGCTGCTGAGGTCAGTGCAGATGAAGAGGTCACTTGGTAAGGACAGGGAAGGCATACCCTGAGGACCCCAGGAAGAAGTGAGAACACCAACGACACTGAAGAGTAGAGAGTGAGATCTGCCCCTTCGTTATCCTTAGTTTACAACCTTTTGTACACAGAGGGCTGATGTCATGGAAGATAACCCTTAGTAACCGCCAATGTTAGGCTAGTACCTTACCCTTGCTAGTGCCCACTGGTCCATCTAGTGGATGTTTTCCCCATTTTAGAATACTGTGAAGGAGCTGTCTGTGGTTTCTTTTCCTCTGATTCCCCTGTTTGTCCTGGTGAGAAGAATTTGGAGAGCTATGTAGTGGTGGGTGGGAAAACAGGATCAGACTTTGTCTCAATTCTGTTTCTGTTGCTGTGACAAAACACCCTGATAAAAGCCACTTAAGGGAGAACAAGTTTATTCCAGCTCACAGTTCCAGACTTTAGTCTGTCCCTGTAGGGACGTCATTGTGGCAGGGCCTGGAGGCAGCTGGTCACATCCACAGGAGTGGAGAGAGAAGGAGTGTATGCATGCTTGTGTTCAACTTGCCTTCTCCACTCACATAGTTCAGGATCTCCCACCTGATTGTCACAGCAGTAGTGACAATCACAGTGACTGGGTCTTTCCACCTCAGCACACTCAAGATAATCGCCCCCAGGCTGACTTGATCTAGACAAGCCCTCACTGAGACTCTCCTCTCAGGCCATTCTAGATTGTTTCTAGTCAACAACTAAAACTGACCACCAGGGAGTTGAAAGCCCTTCTAGAAGTGTCCCAACCCTGCCCCACGGGTGGATTCTGCTTCTTCAAGAATGTCAGATCTGGGGCTTATTTTTTCTGGTTCTGATATCATTCATACCTCAGGAAATAGTCTTGTTTGTAGGGCCACTCACACACGCAAAGACCCCAAACTTCTGGGTACTAATAAATTAACTGCTTTTGGAAATCTAATTTAGATTATAATGTCAATAAATTATTCTTTATGGGCTGATTGCTCTGTGCATTAATGAGCATTCCAAGATCCAAAGAATGTTTTTTCCCCTCATTAACATTTACTGTCCCATGAACTTGAAATGAGAAAGTGACATAGAGAAAATTTGTGCAGATTTTAGCACCTGTTTCTATCTCTTTAGCACTGTGCTAACAGGAATAACGGATAAAGACCATATTGACAATTAGATCTCTTTGAAGACTGCTGGTTTAAGGGCTTTTAATAACCTGAAGATACCAGCTGTGATAACATGAGAAAATGAGTTTAGTACACCAATTATACGCTCCTGTGGTTTTATGCTCCTTCCTTGGATTCCAACGCAATGGTCAGACCTAATGGTTATCACCATCTACTGCTAGTTTGCCCAT